AGAAGACATCCTGTCGCATTTTCTGTCAGGTGCAATCACTGGGATCAAATGTCGGTGGGCTTGTGGGCTTGGGTTTCCCAATGACACATTTGTATGATGCCTTATGATTTAAATGCTCTGCCATGAAATCTTTGATTTTAGAATCTAAGGTGATGAAGAAAAACTGTCACCATTCCATCTCCATGCTGCTGACAATTAATTGGCAAGCCCCAAATCACAGAACTTATAGGATGTGCACAGGGAAACCGGAAGCTTGTGGCCACTCCACCTCATGCCTTCATTCACGCATACACTCACCCATTTGTTCATTCATTCATTCGCTCATCCAATCATTTATTTAACTAATGAGGCATCTAAATTCAAGTGACTCTGTGGCCCTTAACAAACCTCCTGTGAGAAGGAAAAAAGAAAACCTCACATCCCTTGTAGCACACACATGAAGACTGCAGTCAGGAGATTCATGCAAGATTTCCAAATGAAATTAATTTTAAGTCTGGGTTTTGGTGGAGAAAGAAATGGTTGGGGCTGGAGAGATGGCTCAGTTGGTCAAGTGCTTGCCACAGAAAGATGAGGACCTGAGTTTCGATCCCCAACAGCCACACACACACACACAAAAAGGCTGTCTGTGGCAGTGACTGATATGGGCGTGGGGTGAAAACAGGAAGCTTCCTGGGGCTTAGTGGCAACCTAGTCTTGCTCAATCAGTAGTCTCCAGGTTTAGTGAGAGTAGAAAGGGCCTAGAGAGATGAGGGCTCTTACAGAGGACCTGGGTTCTATTCCCATATGGCAACTCACAACTATCCGTAACTCCAGTTCCAGAGGATCTGACATCCACTTTTGGCCTCTTAAGGCTCCCAGCAGGTACATGGTGCACAGGCATACATGAAGGCAAAACACTCAAACTGACAAAAAAATTAAATTTAATTAAAAAACATGCACAGAGAAATAGAGCATATCACCTGACCTTGACCTCTGACCTCCACAGTCACATGAATGTCACCTGACACACGCATATACCAACTTATATAGGCTGACATTTTAATGAATGCTAAATGAATGACCATCTGGAACCCTCCTCAAACATACCCATCATTTCCCTTTTGAAACCTCCCACCAGGAGAGACTGTTTCATCCTCGCAATTCACCTAAGAACCCGGGCCTTTCTCTATTAAGGAGAAAGTCCACAGAATACTCAAAAAACCCCACACACATATGGGTTGTGGGGGGAGAAGAGGAGTGAGGATGGCTAAGCCAGAGAGGCCTGGGGAGGAGCAGGCAGGTGTAAAATTGTGTTCAAACAGAAAAGGGTCCTGCCCCAACATGAAAGAATGGGGTCAGCTGACACCATGGGCCAAGCTGAGAAGAACCAATGTGCTCAGTTGGGAATCACAATAACCTTCAAAAAGCTTTCTGGGCTGAGCCCGCCTCATAGGCAACAAAGTACCATGGTGGACAATCCCATCTTCGAATACAGGGGTGACTCAAGCCCAGGCCTGAGCAAGGGAATTGTTTGCAGTAGTTTCTGTGCGTGCACACACATTTTCATACACCCACGTAGATAGAGCTTATGTCCGTAATACCATATGTAATATCTGCATCTACAGGGATTTTACAAAGCATTCATGGACGCCAGAAACCACATGCACAGAGGCATCTGAATAATGTGCATGTCTGGACAGACCCCTGGGGACATGTTCAGATGGAGACGGGTTACTAAGAGAGGCTATGCACGCAGGACAACCATCTGCCCTACATGACTTAGATTGCCATTTGCCTGCAAAGAAGAGACTGGAAGAAGGCTAGACAAGTTAAATTCCAAAGGTGCCTGATAGCTCTGGCCATTTGCATTGATAAGTTCTCTGTTTCTAGAAGGTCTTCCACTTTCAAGAAGAAAAAAAAAATTCTTGACTCTGGTCAAATGATTTCTCTTGGCTTTTCCCCCTCAAGCGGTAACATTTCATTGATTTCCTTTTCAGCTACCAAAAACATGTGTTAGAGGGGAGACTTAGGAGTTGGGAACCACAGATTCTCTTCTCCAGCTACTTTATATCCTCTTTGGCTGTGTGACCTTGGACAACAGACTTCACCTCTCTGGGCTTCAGTCTCCCAAATGATACATGAGAGGAAGGGCCCAGGGTCGTACAGTTCTTTTCCAGTTTTTGTCTATGAAATCATCCCTACCCAACACCCAAGATTTAGTTGAGCTCCATGAACTCTGAGATGAAGACTCAATAAATTGAATTCTGATGATCTGTTTTCTAATGATAGACCCCACTTCACTTCACACTCACCAAACCAAACCAAACACCCAAACCTCGCATGATTCAAATGATAGGGACTGATGCCGGTTGCTCTGGTTTGAATTATGCTTTGTTTCTATTTGGGGAAATTTTAGACGGGCCCAGTCTGGGATCACTGACTGAGAACAATGAGTCCCCAAAGTCAGAAGGAGAAAGGCCCCTCCAGACAGGAGCTGCTTTTAAAGCACTAAGCCCAGGGTTTACAAAGAGCATTGATTGTATACATTAAAGAGCCATGGGAACATGGAGGGGCTGGCAGGCTGACTCACTGACCTTGCCTGCATTTCAGGGGTCAGGCTTTTCCTCAGGAAGTGTTCACTTGCAGGCTTTAGCAAGCAAAGCATAGGAACCAACATCTCCAAATCTGGGGAGCCAGCCAGCATCTCCTCTCTGATGCGTGTGGCCCAGCCACGATCCCTGGGAGACAAACGTACCTGCACACCTCACCCACCACAAGACTGACTGCCTGAAGCTCGGAGGCCTGCTGAGGACAACTGTCTGCCCATCTGAAGAAGTCTTCCAGCCAGCAGCTCCCAGGCACCGGGAGTAGCTGTTGTCCCGGCTCTTTGCAAACCCCAGTGTAGGCACAGGGTCCATTGAGCTTCCCGGGTGACAAAGAGCAAGCCCAGGGAATCATGCAAAGATACCTGTTCCAAATACAGATTGCAGGGCACAGGTCTCCCTGAGTGAGAATCTAGTAGCCCTGAGGACAGGTTTTGCTTTTGGCATCTCAGAAAATCCGACCCACAGGAGCCTTATGCCACCCTCCCCACCCACTTAAAAATCATGTCAGGGAGAATGATGCTAAGATTCTGGCTCAGCTAACTCACAAGCTGGGCTCATTGTTCAGACAGCTTCCTCTTAGCCACTCCTCCTTCCCCAAGTCTGGGCCACTGGTCCACCTGATTAACTCACCCCCAGCAACTCCCAGGCAGAAGTGGAGCGAAAGAGAACACAGTGGGTAAGAGGGAGCCACACATGCATCGTCCAAAACACCCATTCTGTTCCCCACCCCCACACTCAGCTGCCCACTGGTTGTGGATGTGGCCTTTGGGCACCAGAGGCGCGGAGAGCCTACTGTAGTCATGCATGAATGAGCTTTTCCTGCCTCGCTATCACCGCAGCCTGCAGCCCATTTCAAAGGGCAGTCAGTCAGTCCTCAACCTGCCTCTCTGAATCCTCACCTTTCTGGACCAAAAGATAAGGAAAGGGCCAAGGATTCAAGGTGTGGGAAGGCGTGGGCGGAAAAGAGGCTCTGAGCCTGAGGAAAAAGTATCACTTCGATCAGACAGGTAGCTACCTTTGTAAAATGTCTGTAAAGAAAGAGGTAACTGCAGGAAAAGCTTCCGAGACACAGGTAAATGGCCCAGAGACTTGGCATCAATCTAACAATGTGTTCCGGAGGATCACTAACTTCCACCTATACTGACAGTCGGTGACGCAAGCCACCATCCCTTCAGTCTCTCTCACCTAGCCTCCTGGCATCCTGGCATCCAGCATATGCATTTGCTCTTTATTTTATTTTTAGTTCGGGAGAGGAAGAAACTAGTCGTTCTGAGATTGGTGTCCAATCTTTCTCAGATCCCTGCTGCTGCCACCGCCACCACCCCTCCTTACCCCCTTCCTGGCAGGCAGCATCTAATTAAAATGGCAAGAACGCTGGGCTCCCTTCCCCGAAGGAGTGTGCTGGGATTAGGGGTGGGGGTGGGGAAGCGTCGAGGCTGCAATGGGGTTTCTGGCAGTGTGATCTCCAAACAACAGCAAAATGGATTCTAGATCACCAAAGTCTTATTCAATACAATGGAACGACGTCTGGCCTGAGGTGTCTCGGGAGAAGGTAAAGGCAAAGCAGCAGAGTTGGGGGAAGGGAAGATGTTCTACAAAGGACTGGTAACAGACCCGGGAAACACACACACACACACACACACACACACACACACAGTCTCTCTAGGGAGTTCCGGTGTGGTGGGAAGAAGCTGCTAAAGCGTCCCTTTCACCTGCTGAAGTTCAGCCATAAAACTGAAAGGTCACAGTCACCGAGTTAGAAAGGCATAGGCAGGGCTGAGTTCAAACCGCAGATAAAGGTGAGAGCACCCTGGCGTTGAGAGAAGCGCTGAGCCTGAGCCCCCGCACCAGAGGCAGAACCCGGGAGGGGTCAGTTGCCATCTACCGGAACAGCAATTACTGCCCCCGTGGAGCGACAGGGTCGGTTGGTGGAGACAGCTAAGACTCACGATGGCATCTTGCAGGTAGCTGGCAAACCTGAGGGGCCAGTGCCTTTATTCTTGGGCAAATTCTTTTTGCAGCAAAGAGCAGTCAGGTCTCGAGCATTGGCACGAGAGAGTTGCTCGGGTGCGCGCGCGCGCACCCACACACACTCACACGCACACGCACACACACACACACACACACACACACACACACACACACACACACGCCTTCCATGTAATTCTCTTACACGGATCGAAGATGAAACTGGCATAAGCTCCACCAGCTTCCTTGCCTAGCCTTGGGGACAGTCAAGGAGCACAAGGGCAGTACAGCCCCTGCTGTAGGGTAGGGACTCAGCCTAGAACCCCATCTGCTGCCCCGGAATCAGGACAGGAAGACAGAGAACGTTCTCTCCCCCAGTCCCAGACCATTGAAAAGAAAGAGAGAGAGAAAAAACATAAACCAAAAAACAAAACGCGTTCTGCTCACCCTCAGGGCGGAGAGATCAATTTCATCCAGGCTTCGAGCTGGGGAGTCGCTCGCCATGTCGACTCTTCGCGGGAGAAATGGATCAAAACCAGCCTGAAACGTCTGCCTTGGCAATTCCACCCTGGTCTATGTCGCTCGCGTCTTCATGCGGCTGTCCGCCAGAGAGGCCCGGGGCCCAGCCTCCCCCGCCCACCCGGGCCCCAACCAGAGTGCAATCCCGATCTTCCGAGAGTGTCGATCCGCGGGATCCCGGAGCCCCGACCTGCGCGGATCTCCAAGCCCGGAGCCGCGGTGCGTGTGGGCTGCGCGCCCTGATCGGCTAAGGGCGCTGGGGCTGCGTGGGTGTATTTAAATGGGACATGCTTCTTTGCTTGTGCGTGGATGGCGGCTGCATTGGCTGTTATAATGAGACATATCAACTCCTCCACTCAGCTGGGGGGGTGGGGGTGGAGAACCACACAGAACTGTCTATCACCGCTTCCTGGGAGGAGTGGGGGGGAGGAGGCGTGGTCTCCGACTGGGGAGAGGCCGCGCTTCCTGACCGGGTCCCTCTGCACTAGCCTGGGTGGGGGAGGGGCGTGCACCCTTTCCGCCCCAGCTTTTGCGGGTTAATAGTGATGAATTCGAAGAGCCGATCTTGAATCTCGCTGTGCAGGTATCCGAAGGCTATGTTTTTTAACGTATCCAATTTGTGCAATGCATCAAAATGGCCCTTCGATCGCATCTTGGGGTTTCTTGACTAGGTTCAGATGCTCTAATGGTGAAAAGGGTGGTGAGGAGGGGCAGCAGGAAAAGACAGCAGCGTCCTGCCTCCCCCATTAGTTATTTGTGGGGCTGGAGTAAAGGCGGGCCGGTGCAACCGGTGCATATAAGGACTTGTGCACAGGAAAGGGGATCCGCCTCCCCTCACAGAGCGGGTTGGGGAGAAGCTCACACGCGCAGAGCGCACAGCCTGGTTTTGGCGCTGGGCAGTGGCCTCCGGGTCGCGGTCTTTCGCGGTCCCCGAGTTGCAGGAAGGCAGGCCCGGATCATCCGTACTTCTCTTTGCTGAGTGGATTGGCCAGAAGGTGGAAAGCTTGAAGATGTGAGCTCCGTATCGACATCGCCACACCCAAAACCTACGCGTGCCGCAATTCCCTATGGAAATGACCGAATTGAAAAGCGAAGCTTGCTCCTTGGGTGCAGTAGCTGGAATGCTTCAGGTGACTCCCAGAACAACATTAATTGGGCGACACACTGCCGCCAAAGCCAGCCTTTCCTTCTCTGCTGCTTGTCCCTGGTGACCTACCAGGATTGATGGAGAAAGTTTGGCTCAGGAAGAGTGTTAGAGGTGTCATGTTAGCGATTTGCCTTCACCTGCTTTTTAACGCAAACGCTGGATGTTTGCAGTGGTAACAGAACTTTCTGTTATCAAAAATGTGAAGTCACTTCCCCAGCCCCCACAGACCTTCCTCTCTCCTGGTTTGGCCATGCAAAATACTTTTGAAGAAAACAATACTGAACTCTCCCAGTTCCCTTCATCGATAGCTCCTAGGGTTTGCCTTTTACATCTAAGGCAAGAGTACAAGTGCATTGAGGTTTGGGGTTTTACTTTGCTTTTTGTTTTGTTTTCTTTTTTTTATTGGTTGGTTACGTTATGAGACAGGACCTGGTATACTTTAGGGTGGCTTCTAATTCACTGTGGAGCTAAGGGTGGCCTTGAACTCATCCTCCTGCAAACACCTCCCAAGTACTTGGATTACAAGTGTACACCAACACCTGGGCTGCTGCTACTTCTTAAATCATGATGTGTAAACTTCGGAATATGTTAGCTGAATGAACGCGTGAGCACATGATAATGCAGTTGGTGTTGGCCTGACTTGTTTCGGCCTAGGCTCACTGTGGTGAATCAAATGTCCTGTAGAACAAACCATGATGCTGGAATGCTGTTCCCACAGCATATAAATGTCAGCAGTGGTCTAGGAGCTGTGCCTCTAAAGCCTATATGCTGAGTATTTTTTAATGTTTCAAAATATTTAAAGGACTCTGTTTGATTTTTGAATTCCCTCATGAAGCCGTTCAGCTTATGAAATGGATGCTGGACCTTAAGCCACTATGATGGGACAGCATAAAAGTCATCTCTCCCCACCACTGTTGTTTTCCCCTTGTGTGTCATCTTTTTATTCTCACCCTTCATCTAGGCAGCAGGTTGACATGTCTCCAGGCAAAAGGAAATAATTTCAGATTAGGTATTGAGATTCATAAACAGGATGATTTTTAAAACTTCAAACTTGAAAATGGGAGCTAAACCCTTTTTCCCATGGAAAATAGTACAGAGTTACGTGAGACATCACACAACGATCTCCCCGCTCCCCCCCACTCTAATAACTGGCACAAAATTCCCCTTTGGATGTAGAATTGGTCCAGAGTGGGACACTGTGCTGGGGTTGCTTCTGAGGAAGCTCGGCTTCTGAGCCAGAGAGGAAGCCAGAGAACCGGCTTCAGCAGGAGTGCTGACTATAGCCTCCAAAAGGGGCCAGCAAGTGCACCTAGGCTGTAAGGGAAGGTGAGAGGGAGGAAGCAGGTGAAGGGTGTGCGTCCTGGGACCAGGAGAGAGCCAAGGTGGCTTCAGGCGGAGCTTTGCGTGCCCTATTAAGAAACATCAAACTGTTCTTCAGGCCAGGTTCATATGAAATGTCAGCTGTTCCAGCATGAATGCCCTGATTTCTCTCTATCTGAATACTATCTGTGCTCTTAGCAACAGTTTTTTTCCCTTTTGCCTAATTTAAAAGAAAACATAAATCACGACTGTGAAAAGAAGTCTACATGTAACAGGGCCCCAGACCTTAGTAGGCTCCCACTCCATGATGGAAGAGCCATTCAGGCTGGAAGGCTCAGCACGCAGACAGTACCTTAAAACTAAAACAAAGGCCTCATCCATCAAAGCCATAGTTCTGGGAAAGTCTCTAAAGGGACTAATTTTGGTTTTTGGCTTCTGTAGTTCTGCTTCTCTCTAACTGTTCTTGTTAAGTGAAGTATGTCAGCCCAGGACATGGTTTTTGGTGTGTGTGTGTGCGTGTGTGTAAGATCACTTTGAGAAAGAAAGGCTCAGGGCTGCACTGGGATCCTACTCTGTAGTCACTGGTTGTAATGAAGACTTTCTATTGGCTTAACCCATGCCTGAGCAGTCTGCTCTGATGACTGCCCCCACCACACTAGGCATACCTGCTCTTCCAGAAAGGAAATCATTCAAATAAATACAGTGGAAATGAACGAAGACTCTACCATTACATTATGGCTGACTATTGCTTCCTCCAGACTGAGTTTATTCCAGAACAGCCCGGGTAAGCATGAAAGCCCAGCTTCCTAAAGGCAGACAAGAAACATGGAACAAGAGGCCAGCAACTAAGATTATTTTAGATACGTGATGATAACTGAAGGAGAAAAGAAAATAATGAGTAGCATGGGCATTCAGGATTTGACCAAGGTGACATTTTACTTATGACACCATCTGAAGGAGTGGAGAAGCTGAGGCCATTCAGCCTGTAGTAAGAGCCAGGATGGCACACCTGTCTGCTGTTTATCTATGGAGTAAGTATGTAGTTACAACAGGCACAGGCAGGAAGGGTTCAAGGCAACTGGCCAGTGAGGAGGAAGGAAGAAGAGGAAATGGTGGGAGACAAGGAAGCAGGGAAATAGCTACATACGGGCATTCATTTTATTGTTCTTGGTGTATTTGCATATTTGAAATATTCTTGTGTCTTAAAGGTATTTCCAAAAGAGAGAAGCCAAAGGAGGGTGTATCTTCTCCTTATGTCTCCATGTTTAATAACAAATCTATGCACTAACTCAAATCACAATATGGAATTCATAAACAACATGTGTAGCTTGCAAATGTAGCCCAGGCTTGCTCCTAACTCACTGTACAGCTCAAGATGACCTTGAACTCTTGATCCTCAAAAGTGATGAGCTCATAAAAATATTTTTAAGCATGCATTAAGGTTCTAAAACAAACAACATCAACTGGCCACTTATTCAGAGCATTGTCTAGATGGCCTAAGTCAGCAAGACTGGGTGGCTGGGGAACAGCTAACTGTCTGGGTGAGATCTGGGCAGACTGAGGCTACATGAGCAGGCATGATTATTGTGGTAAGTAACCAAGGGGCAACATTAATTCATTGATGCATTCGATGTATATAATCTATGTAAAAGCAGTACGAGGCCCCGAAGAGCCTGGGTCACATAAAGCCCTCACTCCACAAAGACAAACAAGCTTGTTTAGAAATATAGCGATAGAGAGTCAGCAGCACACACCCCTTCCTCGGCTTCTGTGCTGAGCATGGGTGCTAGGGCCTGTGACACAAGTGCAAGCTAGTACCCAGGTGCTGGTCCTCAGTCACTGGGAGAAATAGGAACAGAGAAACCCACCCCCAAACTGTCCGTGTCTCCCAAGCCCTGTACAGTTCTCCGTCTACCACACTCAGCAAAGCAAACCATCAGAATGACACCACAGATAAGTGAATGAGAGCTCTGAACACAAGGATATGCATCCATGGGCAACTGCCCAGTCAGTGGTTCACAGGAATCTCTTACTAGAGAAGAAAGACACCGCATTCAATCCGCAAACTGAATCAAGACCCCAGATGACAATACTCCAAGAAAATCTTATAATGAGCACTTTAAATCTTTAGAGGCATAATTCGGGGTATGCATTCATAAAACATAATATTTTTTCAAAATTAGTTAGAGGATTATTTAATCGTGTTTTATGAGTGCTAGGGAGATCGCCCAACTGGTTAAGTGATTGCTGCATGAACCTGAGAACATGAATTTGAGTCCCAGTACCCACATGAAAAAGGCCTGCTGTAGCACATATCTGTAATCCCAGGGCTGGGAAAGTGGAGTCAAAAGGATCCCTGAGACTCACTGGCCAGTTAGTCTAGCTGAATCAGCAAATACCAGGACCAGCTAGAGACCCTGTCCCAAAAAATAAGGTGAAGAGTGATTGAGAAATACATCCAGTGTTGTCATCTGCCCTTCACACACACACACACACACACACACACACACACACACACACAAACAAACACATAAAAAAGATTTGAAAGAATATATTGAGATAAAAATATAGTAGATTAAACAAGTAATTGTTAAACTAATTGTGTGGACTAAGATAATGATTTTATTATCAATATAATAAATCATGCATAGTCTCCTAAGCACTTGCTGTGGTCTGAATATTTGTGGAACCCTTAGTATTAAATGTTGAAGAATGCGCTCAACAGTGATGGTATGAAGAGGCAGTGCCCTTGGCAAGTGATGAGAACATGAAAGTAGAGCCCTTGTGGTTGACAGCAGTGCCCTTTTGCCCTTGAGGACACAAAGGCATCCTCTCCTGGAAGCAGTTTTAACAGACTCAAGTGCCAGTGCCTTGGTCTTGAACTTTCCAACCACTAAACATAAGC